GAGGATTATGTACTTCAGCTGTTGGCGAAGGTGTGATCTGTGTGGTGGTGTCAACAACCATTTTTATGCATGTACAGACACATATAAGTGCACACTTGTACATCGTTTGGTTGGTGCACGCGTCTTGTTGTTCCTTTCTTGTAACATTTGTCGAAAATAGAAAGCAGCTGCACTGTTTAGGAGCAGAAGACACGCCGTGCGATGCGCTCAGTGCGGTGATATTCCGAAGTTCCAACATTTTAACTGGAGCAGCTAGCCCAGCCCCTCGTCATAACACTTTACGCTCGAAGCCCTCGAGCTGCAGCTGTCGAAACAGAAGGGGGCCGCAAAGTTACGAGAGATCGAGCTTCAGGAATACTTGCCAGGAGTTCAGAATGTCATGCCAGCAGATCTGAACTATTTCTCTTCCGCTTGCGAAGTCCAGAAGAGCGAATCTAGATGCTATAGAGACCCTTTCACTGGGCTCTCGTCTTTCTATTGTTCTAGGATGGACTCACGAGGCTAATCTAAGTACAAGCTCTGTGTTGGCTCGTCGGTAGTCTTAGAGTCAGCTTTTACTTGCAAGGTTCCGGGCTGAGGGAAGACTCGGTTGGGGTTGAGAAACTCTGGGGTAAAGGTTTCGGACTTGGGGCTACGAGCTAGGCGCCATCTGACTGACAGTCGCTTTGTGACAAACACTTGAGTGCACGCAGCCTGCCAATGTCGGGGTAGCATCCGGGCCGCTTTGAGAACTCGTAGAGTCCTCGATAAAGATAGCATATACTTATCGTTGAAGGGCCCAAAGATCTAACCAAATACCGTTGAAGCTTTACCCACCACTCCGGCTACCTTTGAAAGCCTACTCGGTACCCCGTTAAAGCTCCTACAAGCCGGAAAACCGCTTAGCCCAAAATGCAGGTGCGTGCGTGAGTTCTTTTTTCTTGCGAGGCAAAGCCAAAGCTCTTTGGTGCACGGGCGACGACGCAAGAACAGAGTCGGCTCCTGAGAAACAGGCTGGGGTCTTGAATCGTTTGTTGGTAAAGGTGACCTTGAACAAGAGCAGTACAGAGAACAATAATGCCCTAAACCATTGATTAACAACATTCGTCATTGTGATAGTTTTAATAGTAGTGGTGAATATAGTTGCGTTAGTAGTAGTAGCAGTAGTAGTAGTAGTAGTAGCAGCAGCAGCAGGAGTAGAAGTAGTAGTAGCAGTAGTAGTAGTAGTAGTAGCTAGTAGTAGTAGTAGTAGTAGTAGTAGTAGTAGTAGTAGTAGTAGTAGTAGTAGTAGTAGTAGTAGTAGTAGTAGGGGTAGGAGTAGTAGCGCAGCAGTAGTAACTCAGCAGTAGTGTAGCGGCAGTAGTAGTAGTAGTAGTAGTAGTAGTAGTAGTAGTAGCAGGAGTAGTAGTAGTAGTAGTAGTAGTAGTAGTAGTGGTATAGTAGTAGTAGTACTAGTACTAGTACTAGTTACTAGTTACTAGTTACTAGTTACTAGTTACTAGTTACTAGTTACTAGTTACTAGTTACTAGTTACTAGTTACTAGTTACTAGTTACTAATACTAGTACTAGTGCTAGTAGTAGTTGTAGTAGTAGCAGTAGAAGTCGTAGGAACATTGTAGTCATAATCATTTATTAACAATAACAACAGTAAATAGACAGAGAGGAGAGAGACAGAGAGAGATACCTTCATAGTACATACATATAGGCACATGTATGTACATATATGCTCTTTCTCGTTACATACGTGAATACACACACACACACATATATATATATATAATATGTGTATACATACATATACATATAACTTGGAAGAACTCTTGAGCATATCAGCTAAGCCTGAGGCTGTATTACATGATAGAGAACCCGTATGAAATTAACTTATATCCGAATCAAGGTTTGGCGTGAACCCTGCCAGCAGCTTGTTTCGCCGACCCAACATCGTCATTCCCAGGGCCCATAGCCAGAGCAACAAACTCACAACCCTAAAACGATGCACCTCAGACCCGAAGGCTAGCATACTGAGGGGACAGCACCGTCAAAGAACAGAATCCAGCATGTACGGCAATCTCGCGGGAATCTATTCGTCCTAGCTTTTGCCATCGAGGTGTATGGCACTAGAGCCGGAGACGGAGCAGTCTCCAGAGAAGCAAGGCAATTCAGGGATGTGCAGGGTCCAGCGCAAGGGTTTAGGGTTTGGGTCCAAGGCGCAGGCGCAGTGTTTGTAGGGCTTGCTTGCGCAGTGCTCTTCAGGTCTTTTGGCCTCGCGGCTCGGAGATGTTTCGACTCCAGCAATGCTTAGTCTTTGCCGGCTTACGGTTTTAAGATGCGCAAGCATAGGATGTAGTTCATGGGAGTCCGGGCTAAGGTTTGGGGCTAATTTTGGGTCAGCCGGATTTGACGACGCATGTGTCGTCACGTTCATTGACATTCTTGTTCGCACCACTATACTTGGTGCCATCGCAAAACTTATTCCGTTAGTTGGTCGAGTCAGTCTGGTTAGTTTCACCAATGCTTTGGGCATTGCGGGCCTGTCAGGGGCCCTGTGGGCCCGATGCTCATCCCCCAGGTGACCCTCATCCCCGGGGCCTTAAACGCGAGTCCGTCAAAAGGAGCCCTCCAAGCTGCCAAGCCATGAGCCCTTAAACTAGCCGCTAGCCTTAAACAGATCCAAGAAGCGAACGCATGTAGTAGGGTTGGCGCCCAGGGTTTAAGATTCACAGACTCGGGCCCCAACCGCGACCGCGAACCCAGCACTTGGGTTTGAGGTTGCAACCGGCAAGACCTCAACCATTCAAACGACCCGGCTCGGCCCTGCAGGCAAAGCTTAGATGCGACGGGGAGATTCCAGCGACCTTCGAAGGTCGTAGCTGGATACAAAGGGGCCAGGGCCTGAGATTGGGTTTCAATATTTCGGGCATGTTTCACAGGGCTTCGCACTTACATGTGTTGCTTCACAGCTCTTTGGGGTGAGGTTCAGGGCTTAAGTTTGCGGAATCATGGTTTCGGGCCTCGGGTCGGCTCACCCATAAGCGCCCCTATGCACGGGCCTCCTTCGTGACATGAAGCTGCTGCTACATACGACAAAGTTATAAGCACAACAGCTGCAAGCAAAAAGGATCTATGGGATTCAGTTTTGTGTGAGTCGCGATCTAGATTATCTGGACCGTACGATGGGCACCGTACGAGTGCTTCGAAGCGAAACTAGATCGAGGCATTTGAGGGGTAGCCATGTTCGTACCCTGGGCCCCGAAACTGTATATCATCGTACATCCCTGAGACCTTCAAGCCTTGAAATCAAGTCCTGGTCAGATTTAGATGTGCACTCCTGGCATTCTGGAGGCCTGAATCCTATCAGAGACTGACATAATTCCTGCAACTCTATACCCCAAACTCGGCTGGGGGAGGGGCACCCTACAGCCTTGCATCAGCCATACATACATATATATATATATATATATTTCTATACATATGATTTCCATACATCTGTGCGTGTATATATATATATATACACATATATATATACACACGTATGAATATTTACATTCTTTACACAAGCCTTTAAACCAGATTTTTCAGCCGGGCACGAAACCTTTGATTCATTCTGGGGTGGGTGAAGGGTCGTAGAGTAGGGTTGTTGCCGGGGTTGTTTGGAAGCCTCTTAGAGGTTTTGAATATGTACTCCAGGGTTTTGGGGTTTATTCTAGTGCAACCATCTAATATACTGTAGGAACCGTAAGGGGTCAATGCCAACCAGCTGGACCTCTACACTACGCTGTCTTAACACTTAGTCGGGGCCAGAGTTCTGCTTCCAGTGAGGGCTTTTGGCATGCTGCATGTGTACATGTCCGAAGCAGGCAGTCAGATCAGGAATGCTGCCGCTGGACCAGCAAAAGACGGCACCCTCGCCCTCACCAGCCCGTCAACGAGGGATTGTGACAGCAAGCATGTCAACATGCGGACCGACCTCTCAAGAAGTTTTGGAGTTGGGTTTCGGGTCGGTTTGCCTTGAGCGCTGCAGGGTTTAGGGGTCTTGCTGCATGGCCTTCTTGCGTCCTTCTGTGCACACGATTCCAATGCGTAGGCTTCTCATCTAAAATCTAAATCTTAGAACTTTAGAGCCAATGGTTCCTTGGCACATACTAACATCCCGGGGTTCGAGATTTTGTGCTCAATCACGACATTCCCAAAACCCTACGATCGTAAAGACAACCCTGCAGAGCACCAGGTCAAAATTCCTGGATCGGCCAGCTTGGAAGACCAAGTGCTGAGGGGCAGCACATCCCTTCACTGCCGCGGCGGCCTGAATACTGGCCTGCGACCTGTCTGTCACTGTGCTCTCTCGTCGATCCCTCTATATATGTGCTGCTTGAACTTATAACTGCCACGGACGGACAGCTGGACGAACGTAACTATACAAGCATGCCAACGCACGTGCATACATGCTTGCTTCATGCACGCACATGCTTCCACATGCAATCTGCACGGGGAATATGAACGCATGTCCATTACGGTACGGTATGATATGACATGATTCCGATCTTCGTTTTGGTGATGTGGAGCTTTGTTTTCTCGGACGTGGTCCTCTGGCGAAGGAGGCCCAAGGGTTTTTTGCGATGAGTGTCATGCAACTCGTGCATGCAGTTTAACATGTATATGTTCTTCTACCTGGCATGCTCATTGATACACTTGCCTGCTTTGATCCGGGTATGTTTCCGTCGTCGACCTTCCGATGTATTTTCTGCTGCTAAAACACCCGAAACTCTCACAGCTGTGAAGGGCAGAACTTCAGAACCCCTCCTAAAACCAGTATTCAGGTCTTCTGCAGTAGATACCGGTGCACGCGGGGGAGCCTGCTGTGGCGGCGGAAAAAGCTGTCCGGACTTGCCATGTCATAGTTGATCAGCATACGTTGTATCTCATCTGTGATCAGCTTGATGTCCACGACAACATAACGAGGGAACTCACACAGGATTTTAAGGCTCGTGCCCGGGTCGTCTCGGTAGTCGTCTCCACAGGCATGGGGGGCATGGCAAGGTTGGTGCTCGTGGCCGTTCTCTTCCCATCTCAGACAGATGCATCGTGCCTGTCAGCGGCCATTAACATCAGCGAGCGGAAGTACTTGACGAATGTCAATGGCGAGTCCTACCCCATTGGCATGTGGATCGGTGACTGGGATGCGTCCTTCATGACAACCCACCTGCTGAAGATCATCATAGAGGACCGACAGCTTCGCTTTTGCATTAATCAGGAAGTTGTGCATCTTGTTGACATCTCGGCCTCCAGGAACGAATGGGCTTCCACGCTGAGGCCACAGGTCCTGGTCCTGACACTTTGAGTTGCTTCTACGCGCTACTTGGTTGTAAGGCGCCTGGCAACAGCAGCGACAGGGGATGTGGTCAACCAGTGACCTACAACCACATCAATCTCGAGGCATGGTCGGAAAGCTATCTGAATGAGTGGAAGCTCATCCAAAGTCGGTACGCCTCCATGGCTCCTGTGGACGTGGGAAGCATGGGTTACGATGGCACCGCTTCATTTTTCATCCGGCAGACGGTGCAGAGCCATGCTTACCACGAGGATGGCACTGTCCTGGACTTCTACCGAGGATGGAATACGTCGTGGAGCCAGCCGTCGAAGTACTTCGATGACCTAGCTTCTATAGACCGTGACTTGATGGTGCCTTGTGCACAAACTCGCTTCATGGTGGCAGAGGCGAACCAGAACTATCTGCGAATCACAGGTGGGGTGCTGAACAAAGGCAGTGCATGCCGTAGAGCTGCGCGCCAGATTGTGTAGGTTCAGGCATAGGCATGTTGGTTTCGATACGGCAGGTGACGATGCGGGTGTCGAGATGCTCCCGGATGGCACGCTTGCCGCCGTTTGTCCAGACGACTACTTCTGGCTCTCTCCGAGCTGCCGGGAAGATTCGACTCGCTGCGTGCCCTACGTTACTGGTGGCTCGGGTTGGCATCATGATGATCTGATGCAAAAGGTCACCAGCTATGATATGCCTGTTGCCATTGGGGTTGCAAGATCATGGTCGACACTACCTCGAGAGGTCAATGTGTTCTTTTACTGGTGGGTTCCAGATACTACGTTTTTGGATCTTGATCCAGTCGAGATCGTTTTTCCTCCATATGACTTCCGTGCATACACCAGTGGTGACAAGCGCACTGTAGCTGCATCGACCGCAATTACCAAGATCGTGAGCCAAGACTTGGTCACCTTAGCGCCCTCGGTGGAAGACCTCGTGCGGAACTTGCGACTGGGCCGTAACGATGTCATGAACATGCTGAGGGACATGCAAGACACCGGGGACTCCTATGCGACTGTGGCCTGTCACTTGGTCAAAGTTGTACAGACTCGAGTGCAACTTCATGTTTGCATCCCTTTTTCGGGGTGCGATGTTTAGGCCGGGCAGCTCGAGCCAGGGGTCTACAACCAAGGTCGCTGGTTACAGTCGAACCCTAGCTGGCAGGATTGGCTGCCGGACCGCACAAAGTGCTCCCCCGGCTTCGGTCTCTACGACACGGCGCAAGATACCTTTATTGGCACACGTGCAGATCCGACCTTCTTGGAGTGCCGTGCTTGTGTGTCCGGAAGATATTCAGCTCGGTTGCTTGACGCCGTGGGAATTACCCATGTGTGCGAGTTCTGTGCGCCTGGAAGTAGCCAGGCATCGGGTGCTGCTTTGCAGTGCGAACCGTGCCAACTTGGGAAGTCACAGAATAACTCTGGCAGTCAAGAATGTAATCGTTGCAAAATCGGTGAGTACCAGGATGAGCTTGGTTCCAGCAGCTGCAAGCCTTGCTCAGGTGGCACGACCCTAGGCTTGGGATCCTTTTCACTTGAGGACTGTGGCTGCCCGACGGGCTATATCGATGCTTCAAGTAGCACGGCGAACCTGAGCTGCATCGAGTGCGGGGAAGGCCAGGACCGTTAGCAGGATGGGATCTGTTCTCTTGTGATAGCGAGACTCCGAGATGCATTGTGTGACAGGCTTGGACTGCCCAGCGCTCGCCACGCTACAGGGCCTTCGGTCCGGCAGCTCGAAGATTGGCCCAGAGTTTGTGGCGAGCATCCTTCCCGGGTTCTACAGCAGCATGGCGGAGCCGCTGGAGCTGTATCGCTGCGTCGAGGCTGCTGCAGGCACCCGCTGTCCGGGTGGCATCCCTGCAACCTGTACGGGACTACTGAGCAACACGGCCTGCACCGATTGCCCCAGCGGAAAGCACTGGGACAGGTCTGGGGGACAGTGCGAGGAGTGCACGCCCTGGCAGCAACTAGGCTGGATCCTCGCAGTCGCGGTGATGTTGTCTGGCCTGGTCATGGTCTACTACATGATGACTGCTCAACAAACGGCCAAGGCCTCCGTGCTTTTTACAACGACGTGTGCATTCGGCATGACCATCTCGTCGCTACAATCCGTCGGCATCATTGGGACGATGACCGTTCGAGTCCCCGAAGGTTTGAAAGCCATCTATGCATTTCTTCAGGTCTTTCTGCTGGACTTCGACAACTTTGCTTTCAGCTGCGTCGCAGGTGGTTCTGCCCGTGCTCGTTACATCGTGTCGGTTCTTGTCTTCCCGGGTGCTGCATGCTGGCTCGTGTGCTGCCACTACGCTTCCAGGCTCTTGCCCAAGAAGCTGCAATGGGAAGGCAGCAAGACGAAGAGCACCACAGGGGCCTTGCTTCAGCTTGCATTCAGCACGATGAGTACCATTTCCATGGCACCGATGATGTGCTTCAGGCGTTGGGGTCAACATTGCCTCAATATACATAGAGAACAACTTTTGCCTGGAGCTTTAAGCTTGAATCCCTGTATCAGTCACCCGAATGGCGTCTTCAGCCTCTTGAAGTACCCCAGCATCACTTGTGGCACGGAGGCCCGCGTTCTATTGCATTTGGGGTCCCAGGCCCTGGCGGGCTCGTGCCCTCTGCATGCTGAAGGTTTTTGTTACGTGGTCTCTGCGATGCACGAGACTCCGTAGCTCATGAGGTGATGCTTCGATTCGGTAGCTTCGGGTTGGCTTGTCCTTGGCCTGGCTTCATGGGTGTGTGGAGTGGGCAGTGAGCCTGTGGTCTGAAGAAAGCTGCTGTGTCGTTGCTCAGTCTATCTGCTCAACATGCAAGCTAGCCTGCAGCTAGAATAGCACCAAGTGGGAAGCAGCTTTCATCTTGGATTCTGCCTACAGGAAACAGGTCGTGCAACAAAAACAAACCTTGTTCATACGCCTACGTGTTCAGAACTGGAAGTATTGCTGCGGCATGTATAAACGAAAGCTCACCTTGCAGGATCACACCGTCATGCTAATCTTCGGCGTGTTGCTTCTCCTGCTGGGCGTCATGGGCTTCCTGGCAGTATGCACCTATGCCGTGATCGTCGTGCCGAGCTGGAGCAGGAACGGGCTACATGCAAATGTGAAAGCCTTCAGATTCCTTCTTTTCCGCTTTCGGCTGGACTCCTGGTGGTTTGGATTGCTGTTGCTGCTACGGGGTCCGATGATGTCGCTCCCTATCGCGCTGGCGACGGACTATCCACCTGTCCAGGTCATGTCTGTTATGCTCGTGTTTTTGGTCATACTAATCATCCAGGCGAATGCCTGGCCATGGAAGGTGCCGCTTCTGAACGTGCTGGATTGCTTCATTGGCTTCTGCATTACAATGCTTGTGGCTTCGACTTCATTGTACTTGGGCGGCCTCGAGGGTAGCATGAAGGACTTCGCCGATGGAGTGGGTTCGGTGATCATGGGCATGATGGGAGCAGCCGTAACCCTGCTTTTCGTCATGACCGTCACTGCCTTGACTTTCCGGGCGGCGCTTGGCGGGCAGCAGGAGCTCATCGCTTTCAACCTCCAGAGGACATGTTGTGTTGTGCTGTTGGCTTTCAGTGTTGTTTGGTCAGGTCACGTGGCACGGCCTCTCCAAAAGCATGCATGCTGTAGTCTGGGAAGCTTCACTCATGCCCGCGCCGCATGAGGGCTTATTGTGAGTTCGACCATAAGACAAGTGCTCCAAGTTGCTTGTCCAGGCATGCTTCAGTTGTGACGTTGTCAGACAGACTTGATCGTACAACAGCTCTTAGCTTGCAGTGGGTCGCATGTTGATGAGGACGCCGGCGCCCACCCTCGTTGCGGAAACCGTGCAGTCCATGTCAGCCCAGCTCGCAAAGATGGATCGGGCAGGACTGGTGAAGGCGTTGTCGGCGATGGGAGTTTACGACAGCAATTTGCTGCTGGCATCAGTGTCTTTGCTCGGCACAGAGATCGTCCCGTCCGATGCCGATCAGATGGCAAAGAGGTGGAGCGAAAGGGCTTGTTAGTAGACACTTCTGAGGGCTTTGTCAACGCAAGGGATGGAGTTGGATGCATGTTCGTGACACATCGACTCGTGCAGGTACTGCTTCCGGATCAAGTCCGCTTCCTTCGCGCCGCCGGCGCCACCCCAGAGTCCTTCCCCTGCCAAGAACATGCCGGCCAGCAAAGCAACAGAGACGTCTAAGGAGGCAGAGTTTGACCAAAGTCCCAGCGAGGGCGACCTGTCTCCAACCAACGCCCGGGCAGCCGAAGAGCCAGGTCTGGCCAACGCAGCAAAACCTGGTGGAGTTTTGGGTTCAAGATTGGGTCCTTCATTGGGCGAGGAGGCGCAGCAGGCGTACATCTAACCTCCATGCTCCATGCTGGGAAAGCTGATGCCCGCTTTGCCAAGCTTGGCACTTGCGGCTTCGGCTTACCGTGTTCTGCTATCAATTTTCTTGATAATGTTCTTCCGCGCGCGGAGCGCCGCGGAATGCCGCGGAAGGAGCTTGAACATGCTGGATTCGTGGAACATGGTTCAGCATGATCAAGCATTTTTCAAATCGGCTAGACCAGTAAAGTGCACATATTTGTACATTTTGCGTTGTGTCATTTGACTCCCATTTTCCCAGTGGGGGGGCACTACTGGCAGTTGCATTGCTCACTGTGCTCGCGAGTCCGGGACGAAGTCGTCCTGTCCACAAGTCCCCTAGCAAAGAATGGACACATCGGTCAAGGTACAGTACAGTCTTGAAAGGGTTCCTACGAAGGACTGTAAGGGGCCCTATTTGCTTTTTTTGCTTTTTTCCGCAGCGGACTTGTTGGATGAGGGTCTCTGCAGATTTGCTGGTTGCCTGGCATGTATATAGGCGACCTGATCGGAGACCATTGCGGCGCTTGTCGCGGCAAGTGAAGCACGATGTATCGCAGCTTACAAACGTGCGGAGGTCTTCTGCATCCTCTGTCATGAAGCTCTGAGAAGTTGTTGCAGCTCTGGACTGATTGGAACCGGCGTGCACATGGCTCAGAGATTTCTAGGCAGGCGGCATGACTCGGCCGTCCGGAACCAGCAGAGACCCAAGCTAAGCTAGCTCTTCAGTGCATGCGCATGACTAGATCCGAAAAAAGAGTAGGAGAGTCGCCAGAGCCGCGATGGCGAGCGTGGCAGCACCCATCGGATGGATAAAGAGATAGGCAGGTAGGCAGTTAGATGTACTGCATTCTCGTACTACTTGACATGCTCGGTGAGCACGCAGCTATTCAGATGTTGCTGTTGTATCAATCGAAGGGTAAAAGGAGGGACCCTTAATAAGGACCCCTAGGTATATACCCTTCATATAGCTATAATATATACCCATTATATAGCCCATTATAGGCTATGGGTCCCCATTAAGGGTCCATCCTTTTCCCCTTTGAATCAAGGTCTGCGTCTGTTCAGAACAGAGGCAAGCCGTTCGACTTGGCAATCTTCACGAGTAGTACCAGTAGTAATAGTACTAGTAGCAGTAGAGGTAGCAGTGGCCGTAGCCGTAGTAGTAGCAGTAGTTGTAGCAGCAGTATAGTAGTAGTAGTAGTAGTAGCAGCAGTAGTAGTAGTAGCAGTGGTGGTGGTAGTGGTGGTAGTGGTAGTTATAGGTAGTGGAACAGAGCACCAGGTCAATTTCCTGGATGGGCCAGCTCTGAAAGCTTTAGGTGCAGCACATCTCGTCACTCCAGCGGCCTGAATAGTGGCCTTCGACCTGCCTGTGCTCCTTCCTCGGGACATGCAAGTGCTGTGATCGCCGCAAATGTATATAACTTAGTTTGAGTTACTTCCTTTGCTCGTGTGTGCAATCCCCAGGACATGGACGGACGGCTGAACGAATGCAACCATACATGCAAACCAATGCATGTGCGTACGTACTTGTCGCTTGCATGCACATGCTTCCACATGTCGAGCTGCACGGGGACTATGCATGCCATGTCCAGCATGGTACTTGTACGGTATGATCTGCCATAATACGGGAAGTTTATGATCTTTGTGTTGGTGATGCGGAGCTTTGTTCAGCTGCACACGCTCGTCTTCATCGGACATGGTCCTGATCGAAGGAGACCCATGGGTTCATGCGATGAGTGTCATGCAACTCGTGTATGCAGCGTGTGCGGTGCAAATTTGTGTTTTCTCTGCTCCGAACGCTGGTGTTCTTGTACCTGGCATGCTCATTCTTGTACCCGCCTGCCCGTCAGCTTGATCCACGTGTCGGTTTCAGTAGTCTACTTGGCCGATGTATGTTCTGCTGCTGAAGCACCCGAACTCCTTTCAGGAATCTGCACTAGCTACCGTGGCATGCGGGGGAGCCTGCTGTGGCGGTGGAAAAGCTGTCCGAGCTTGTCATGCCATATAATTAGTTTATATCAACGTACGCTTTATCTCATCTGCGATCAGCTTGATGTTCGCGACAACATAACAAGGTCACTCAACCTGGTAATTCACAGAGGATTTTCAGGCTCGCTCGTGGCCGGTGTCTTCCCATTTTAGACAGGTGCCTGCTAGCGGCCATTGGCATCAGCCAGCGGAAGTACTTGACAACTGTTCACGGAGACGAAATTGCGAAGGCGATGAGGGCGAAATTGTTCGCAAGGAATTGAAGCTCAAATAGCTCGCGAAGAAGACGAAATCTGAAGACTAAATTTTGTTCGCAACACACTGAAAACGAACTTCGTCGCGAAGACTAAATTCGGCCCGAACACGCAAATGCTCTTCAAAAAACCATCGCTGAGTTGTCTAGGCTCCTGGATGCTTTCCAAAGTCAGTTCGGCCGCGAAGACGCAACTCGGTCCTGAAGACGACCTCCAGGCCCTATCCTCGGAGCTGAAGCTTCTGAGTTGTGATTCAAAAACGAAGGCCGCTGGCTGGATCTTCTGAGTTCAACGCTGCAAGAGTTTAGGGTTTAGGGTGTGATTGTCGAACCGTGGGATCGGAGATTAGATCCTCGGAGCTCCAGGTGTGCAATGGCTTTGATATATAATCAGGGGCGCCGGAGGTCAAAGTTCCAAGAGACGGTGTTTTTGGAAGCCATGGGGGTCCCATCAGTCCGAGGCTCCATCTTCGGAAAATGTATGTATGAATGCGTGTACCATGGTGTACCCATCATTCGAGTCCCATCCCCTGCCCACCACCACTGCCGTCGTCCCCCGTCACCGTCACTGTGTATCTCGTTTACTGTGCTTGTTATCAGTCTGAAAGAAGCTGATGAAATCAAGACTCTTAACACACTCTTTCAAAGAGGAGAGCCGCACTTGTGCAGACGTTTACCTGCCTTGTGTGCGCAAACTTGGCCTTGACTGCCGCTTGGCTGCTCAAAAACCACTTCGTAGGGTAGTTGACCTTGGTCAGTAGGGTGCTTGTTCCAGGTTCAGCGATTTAGGATGTAGCCTTCCAAGGCTGCTATCGAGCTTGCTTGCAAAAGCGATCAGATGCACAGCTACAGAGTTCTAAATGAGCCCGCTGCTTCATTGTCCGGGGTCTTTGAGCAGCCGAGACATCTCGAAACCGCAAGTCTGACAAGAGTCTCAGGACCACATGCACCTCATGCCAAAGCCAGCTATTTCCCGCGGGAAACGCATCCGGCCCTTTGAAACAAACCGCTACCCTAACCACCTTGCCATGGCTCTGCTTGGTGAGGTGCTGGGGGGCTCTAGGCATCAGAGTTCAGGATCGTAGGGCAGGGGGTCGAGATTGTGATGCTCTTGGGACTTATGGTCGTGGGTCGCGCGTTGGTCATGCGTGGTTTCGAATTTCCAAGGTGTCCCAATTTCAAGTGTGGCTTCCAGTGACCCTGCTCGGCCCTAGCCCCGAAAAGACCATGACCTCACGACATCTCTAGCGATACCCTAGCCCTCCAGCACCACAGCCAACACCCTCCTTATTGCACTCGGCTTTTACGGTTGACGAAACATGTTGTAGACTGTATGCTTGGAGTTGTCCTTTTGATTGTGTGCCGCTGAGCATCGGGTTGGAGCCGAGGCATCCTGATTGGCCAGGCTATAAGGGGTGCTCACACAAGAGATGCCCCGTAACCTGTATCTTGCGTGGCACGGCCAAGGTTATGGTGGCGTGAATGCGATTGTTGAAGCATGTTGAAGCCCAAAGTCTGAATTCTGGCTACACCTCCGACCTCAGAATGGCTGCTTCCTCTCAAGTAGGCAACCTCAAAAACCAGACCTTGAAAACTACTTCATTGACTCTCCAACACAAGTGGTCAGATATCCTCATGCCGCTTCGGCCATACTCTTGCTTGCCGTACTCCCATCTGTGAAGTGCCGGACAGAAGGCCTTTTCTTTGGGGGCCCCGCCGCCTGCGCTTCCTATCGCAAGGCACGTGAGGGGATGCAGGTCTCGAGCCCTACACATGTTTGCGAACGGCGTACTGCCAGGACGACCACAGCAACCACAACCACAACCACTGCTGCTGATGCTGCTGCTAGGGCTGCTATTACTACCACGACTCCACCTACTCCAAGTCCTCCTCCTCCTCCTCCTCCTCCTCCTACTCCCGCAGCGGCTGCCACGACAACAGAAACAACGACGATGACGATTGTTCCTGCTCAGAATGATACAAGGACAACGTGTTTTGCAATTGCATCAGCAGCCGTCGAACTTCGAAAGCTGTATCAGGTCTTGTAAAGAATCGCCAGTAGATTCACCTTTGCAGAAACGACCACCACAAGCATCGTGATCTCCGACGCCAACCTATTTCGAGATCCTGCCTAGGCCCAACCCCTGGACCCGAAACACACCCTTCACATTTACCGAAGGCCTTGCCCCGACGAGCGTTCTCTCCCACATTGCCTAAAGCCTCAACATAATCCGGTATCTTCCATTGTGTTGTTTGAACCTCAACTCCCGAACGCACCATGCTCGTCACCCAGGCTCGCCACAAAGCCTGGGCGTGCAGTGCACGAAGTTCCGGAGAGAGGCAGGGCAGAGGCTGAAATGCTCAAGGCATTGAGGGAGTCAGCTTCGAGGCTGACTGGCATTTAATGGCTTTCGAGTTTGAGGTTGAGTGCACTCAGGGGGCTATGAAGCTTTGAGGGTTATAGGCTTTGAAATCAGTGCCTTCTTTGCTGGCCCTGGGATATTTTGGAAGAGCTGATCGATAGGCTTCCGACATGTCTTCAGGTTAAGTGTTAGTGTTGCTTGAGGGTTCAGATTGTCTTTGCAGTGGGTGTCCTCTTTTTTGTGGATACGTGTTAGACCGACTTTGTCCAAGAAGGGCAGCAGATGAGGGTATAAACTGGGAGCACCCGTCATGCTCATCCGATCCTTCCTTTTATGCTGTCGACTTGAGATGATTTACGACCCCAAGACCCCAAATCTGGTCTCGGGAGTCCAGCTGGCACCCTAAACCCTGAACCCTGCTCATCACTCGCACAACCCCTTCACCTTGATTACTTCCTACTTATGCTTTTGTCTTCCTCTTACTGGGTACGTGATGTGCAGTGGCCTCGACAATAGTAACGGTAGCAATGGACCCCGAAGCCGTGCCTGCGTGAGCGAGCGTGCGAGTCGAAACCCTGAACCGCTGAAACTTGCAGATCCAGAAAATCACGAATACCAACACAGCAGGCGCGTCGTCCGCACTGGCTGCAGCAGCCACAGTGGTGGCCGGCTGTGTCGTGGCAAAGAGGCTCCTCGCTTTCAGACTTGGGTGGAGTCAAAATTAGGGTCCCTTTTTGGGTACCCTAAATATTAGATGCCGTATTATAATAAGGACTCAAAAAGGGACCCAGTTTTTGACAACCACCCACTTGAAATAAACTACAGATCCGAAATCTGGGGACTGACTCGGTGATAGCTGGATCATGCCAACCACAGCATGTCTCTGCTTCCTCCTTTACAGGCTTCAGAGATATAGATTAATCCTGAAGCAGTTTCCGGCAACAAAGTGACTTAACTCACTATCGTTTATAAGGTTGAGGTACGTAAGATCCTGAGGGTTGTTTCACATGCGGGTGGCCTTTGGTGTAATTAGTGGCCCTCACTCCCTGTGACGGTAATCGGCAACCCAGAAGAACCCGATATTTCCACACCCTCGGTGTGGGGTTGTTAGATTTTAAAGTCAGCCATTACTCCTCGCCCGCTGAGACTACCTCCTGGAGTACCCAACCTCACAGACTACCGTGAGAATACCGTGAGAATCCCTGGAGTGCCCAAGCCCACAGACTACCCTGAGAATCCCTGGAGTGCCCAACCCCACAGACTACCGTGAGAATCCCTGGAGGGATTTGCGTGTAGGAAGGACAAGGCGCTAGGGTGGGGATGTTCGAAGTAAAACAATGATTTGGGCTTGGAGTTTTGGAAGGTCGGGTTCCAGAACCTAAAGCGCTGAAACCCGAAAGGCTTACAATGGGCAAGACCCAAATCCAAAAATGCTGCAGGCTCAACTGACATGGCAATGTGAATTAGCACTGATCATACATTCCTGACCCCTGCCAAGCCCTGAATCCAATAGCATGGATTCCTATCCCCCGGTTTTCTGTTTCTGTTTCAGGGTCAGGAGTGATGATGTCGAAACCTCAAGTGCATCAGCATTATTTGTTCTAAGCAAGCGATGCGTACAAGGGGTTCGTTTGTGGTTCGCCCTCAGCTGTAGTTTCGGGTGTGTTCCAAACCCTGACCCCGCCGGAACCATCTAGCCTTCACGGTCACGTGCCGAAGTTATGTCTAACTCTTAAAGACCAGCTTCCCGAGCATTGTTTATATGCTAAACCCAATCCCGGGTGGTATTTAGGCTCACGGGCATTACCTGGCTGGAGAAAAGAATGTTCGTCGTTGTTCTTCTTTGTCGACTCAGCACGCCGCCTCCTGAACCCTGCCTGCTGGGCTTCAGGATTTAGGGGTTAAGGCTTGGTGTGGTTGGGTTTCGGTTTCAGGTTGGTGCAAGCCTTGGTAGGGTCGTTAAACTCTAGGAAGTTCAGAAAAGATGCAGAGTATGTCATAGAAGAAGACGTCCTTCAGGAGGGACCCTTGTGTGATCTTGTGTGCAAGGGACCTCTAAACATGTTAGGGCAAGCAGTAGCGAGGGAAGCTGTCGGCTACCTGCTGACCGCACTACTTTGGAGCTTTTGGAGTTTGAGGGTTTAGCTTTTTTAAAAGCGGCTTTTGGGTTGCTGGGCTTACGGTTCGAGAAGGTCCTGCACTACACCCGGAAGTTCCCAGAATTCCAGAGGCGATCCGACCCGCGCCCCGCAACGTCGGTGAGGGTCTGCGAGCTCAGTAAGGCTTATAGGGTTTGAAGAGTCTGATGTTTTCTTACTTGCTTCAGGAGGCTGACAGCGTTTGTAGGATGATCGATCGGTTCAAACTTTTAGCTGCTTAGATTCGCAAGCTTAAGGCCTGTGTATGCTCTCGGTAGGGGGCATCTTCGCTTTTGTCCTACATTCTTGCCGCTTGCTGCCTTTACTTCTTGCGGACGGAATCGAGCCATTTTTCGATATGCAGGACTTTCCGTTATAATGATAGCCTTGGTTGACACCTCCAGACCCAAGCTCGAGACCCGAAGACCAGATCCTGAACTCCTGGATCCCATGGACTGGTTCGAGAGCAAGCTCTGCGTCTCCATCTTGTACAAGTGGCTGTGAACGTTGACTTTAGTGCTGGGCTTGCGTGCTTCCGGCTAAAGCCGCCGAGAACACCCTAGAGCCTTCTCAAGCAACCTAAAGACTACATCGGCGCCCCAACTCTCACGCAGCTCTGGAGCCAGCCTGAGCTTGTCCCCAGGCCACATCTCTGGAGGCTGAGTCAGAGGACGGGGTGCGGTCCAGTCATCCGCTCTTATTTGGGTTGTTCACGTGGGCCTATAGGGCCTATTCTGCCGAGGGGTTTTCATCTCCCGAATCCTGTCATCTGGACCCGCTGAAGACCCCGAACTTCACGGATCATGTGCACCGCTGCTTCCGAAAAAGGCCTTAGGAGCGTATTGCCTTGCGAGAGTCTTCGAGCTAAGCTTGTCCACACTTGTTTTTGCAGTTTTGTGCAGAGCGTCCATGCTGAAGGGTGTGTTGAGGGTAGTGGGCCCGAACATGCTGTTCAAACCTTGCCTGGCTCATCCGAGAGTCCTGCAACAGTGCCACGCGAGCAACAGGTCGAGGTTCAGATTTTGCATAGCAAGGATCTGTCTGAGCCAAGCACCCAGGCCAAACAGAGTGAGGTTTTAAAGAAAATCGTCTTCCCCAGCTCTCAAGCCTAATATGGGGTCCACAATGAATCGAACTCGAATTGGGTTTGGCAGTATATGATACTAGGTGTGCGGGCGAACAGTCTTGTACTAATTCAGACTTCAACATGCGCAGAGAGCAGCGGAAGAAGCATCCGGGAACCCACTTTGCGGTTTGGGGCTGAGGGGTTTTGGTTGGAGCGAGAGGTTCTAGAGGACGAGGCCGAAGATGAGGAGGAAGAGAGCGACGAGGCGCGCGGATTCCTGGGGAATGCGGCTGAATCCCAATGAGTCACTACTGAATGGCATTCAGAAAGGCATGTGGTTGAGGCTTTCCCGGGCGTTGCTTAGAGTTTTGGGTTCGCAATTTGGGGTTTAAGCTCAGGGTTGGAGCTTGTAGTCAAGGTTTCGTCAGGGTTTGGACCTTTCGGATAGTTAGTTAAAGACTTCGTATAAAGGCAATATGAGAGTCAATACATGTATGTATGTATATGTATATCCTTATATATACAAATATGTGTTTATTTAGTTTATGTACATGTATATGTTTATGTGTATATATATATATATATATATATATATATATCTTTTATATGTAGAGCGACAGAGCGCACCTAAGCAGGAGGCTCCTGTAGGGCTTCAGGTTAAGGCTCCACCCCAGGGCAAAATCTGAGAGTTTCGGAATCTTGGGGGTGCGTACCTTCCTTGGAGCTTCGTAAAGTAAAGTGTATGCCGATTCGGGTGTTCTTGCCATGACAATCCGGGCTTTGGCTTGAGAAACGGTTCAGGGCCTATCTTTTAGGCCGGCGCATGAGTCGATTGATTTGGAGAGTTCAGTTCTGACTCCCCCCTCTTTAGGTGACACTATTTTAGTAGTAGGTAGTAAGTGTTTCTCGAGAGCCGTGAACCTTACGATGCCCTGAAACACTGTTCAGCTCCCAACACCCGACAGCCTGCATACAACCTCCAATGGAGGTTGGACAAGTAACAAAATATCCCCCTCTCCCTCTACCCCAGAAACCCTTAACCCTAAATCCAAACACCTTTGTTATTTTTTTGGACGGGCTAATCCGGCATTGTCCTTTCGCCAAAGTGCTGCCGCCGGTACTGGAATCCTCGCCAAGGTTTGTGCGCGAATGAGTGCTGAAATCCAAACACTTAAGGCTCCCATCTTACCACGTCAGGAGGAGATACAGGTGAGGCCTGCGCTGGAGTTCGACGAGAGCCGGGCAGAAGGCACTGGGTTGGCTTGGGCGTTGAGAGCTGGGCCCAGAACCCTCGCAATTTGTGTCATAGAACGATGGGTTCGGGGATCGGAGCTGTAGGGTTTGGGATTGGGGACTTTCAGCATGCGTATTCGCACTTCGGGTTGTTAATGTTATAATTATTGGTATAGTGTTGCCTATTTATTCTCACACTTCTTACTACTATCATTATCAAAGCTCATGTTATCAATATCATGTGTGTTGTTGGCAGCACGTGCGTCTGCCGCCGCGCGGGGTGGATCGATTTCGGGGCCGGCATGTGCAGAAACTCGAGTTTTGGCACGTTCCTCACCCGAAAGTCAAGTCGCGTTTTGTGTTAGCATAGGTTCTTTTGCGGTGTTTTGAAACAGAGCAAATGCGCCACCTGGCAGGCTACGCTGTACAAACAAATTCTGAGCTCTGTCGTTTTTTTCTGTGCTTTCCGATGTGTGTCGGATTTCGCATCGTTTTTTGTTTTAATTGTGTTTTTGCCCACTCGACTTTTTGCACATGCCAGCTGGGACTTCCACTTGTACTTCACCTTCGTGAAGGGGTGGGGAAGGGGGGGAGGGGGCAGATGACGTCCATGCGAATGCTGGATTCTGTTTTGTGACCTTGTTCTGGTGCGGTGCATTGGTGGGGAGGGTAGGGACGGGGGGGTGTGAGGAGGTCCACGCGAATGCGGCTTCCGTACTGTGCTTCTCTTGTTGGTTTGTGCGTTGCGCATTGGTGGAGGGTGGGGGCATTTCGCATCGTTTTTTTCGGCGTTTTCCTAAAATATCCGGGCAGCAGTGTGCCGACCCTCGACTTTTAGCACATGCCAGCTTGGACTGCCATGTGTATGTATTTGACCTCCGTGCGGCGGTGGATGGGGGGAGCTGATGACGTCCCTGCGAATGCGGCTTACATGTACTGTTTCTCTTTCGATTCTGCTCTGTGCATTGGTGGGGAGGGCTGGATGGGGGCATGTTGATGATGTTGATGTTGTTCTGCATGATGTTGATTGCTTATGCGGAAGATAACAATGGCGATGACGATACCTATGGTGATTACAATGACAATGTTGCTCCCTGTCGCCCTCGTTGTTACGTAAGAAGCCACCAATACAAAAAAAACAGTGTTTTTATGCTTTCCAGACAACAACTTCACAACTGACCCCAAAAGTCAACAACAAAACACGACGCGAAACACACGGTATTTGCGTCACTTTCGCCAAAACCTCACCAACAAACAAGACCAACCTACTATGGAAAAGCACTCCGAAACATCGTCTTGTTGACGAAACCGCACAAAACTTGAGGTTTTCAGTTTAAACAAAGAATCCTCTCGAAAATCAACGACACACCCCGCGCGGCGGCAGACGCATGTGCTTCCTTCTTGTTCTTGTTGTTGTTGTTGTTGTTGTTGGTGGTGGTGGTGGTTGTTGGTGTTGTTGGTGTTGTGTGTTTGTTTGTTCGTTTGTTTGTGTGGTTGGTTGGTTAGTTGGCTGGCTGGCTGAAGCGGCTCTAGCGGTGCAGAATCTAAACAATCCCACCTGTCAGATGTAAGACAAGGGGTTTGCGGCCGGGACTTTGCAGGAATTATCGCTGCGGTACAAGACGCCAGAAAGCAGCAGCAAAGTGCGGCAGCTCTTCTGCAGGAGCCGGGAGGCCAAGACTCTCCAGCGGAGCTTAGTAACTTAGTAGTAGAGTAGAGCAGCTAACCTTTAGCCACTGTGCTCATGGCCCGATAATGTGCTTTAACCTTTACACTAAGATCCCCAAGTTTAAGTATTAGTACCCTTGCATACTGCGTGATGGAATGCCGGCACAGTCTTTTGTAGAGAGAGAAGCGACCAGACAGCTTTTGGATAGCATCCTTCAAGCTTTTTGGCCCAAAGCCGGAAATCACGCAGCCTATGTACGACTCTCCTGATGCAGGTTCAGTAACAGGGTTTCTCCTTACAGTCCTGGTAAAACTCTGCCCTCATAGCCCCCACAAGCCTTGCTCCTCCTATTCTTATTTCTTTATTAAGTGCCCGGCCTCAGCCTAGATTTTTCAGAATGACCTGCCGGAAGCCTTCGAACAAACAGCCCTCCTTTGGAGCGCCAAGGCGACAGCTTATCACCGACGAAGCCAGTGCGGTGCAGGCTCCGATTCCATCGAGTTTCCCAAAGGGTCCAAGTATCATTATGGTATATACTTAGATCTCCAAAATACCTTATAAGTATATACCATAATGATACTTGGACCCTTTGGGTTTTCTAGTACCGGCATTCAGTCCATGTGTGTTTGTGTCTTGAGTGGGGTGGGGTGACTCAAGGCCTCGGGTGTCCAGGACGTTGCGGCTTCTACCGTAGAATTTTAGCTGCTGTGTCATTAGATTTCTAGTCCTCCGGATGGGAGCTGATGCTCATCGACCTAAAAGAGATGGCTTTCTTACCCACGCCATCCTTCGCAACGTTAAGATATCGGGTTCAGGCCTGAAGGGTGTAGGATGTGAGGTTCAATAATCGGGCTTGGGTTTGATGTCAGGGTTTCGGGCTGAGGGTGTAGATTTTGAGTTCAGGTTATGGACTGTTCAAAAGCTTGCCATGTGCTCTTTGGGTTCGGGCACGGCTCTGGTCTCGTGTCAAGAGACCGCACAGGAGGCTGTTGTTTTGTTGGTTGGTTGGATTGGTGCAGACTTCGTAGTTTTGTTGGGGGCTGCTAGCCGTTGCATATAGCTCCCCGCGATGGGTATAATATATGAACTTATGAACCCTAAGCCCTGAAGCCTGGACGCTAAACCCTGCGCCCTGAAACCGCATACCCCAAACCATATCCAGTACTCAGCTGCATTCACTTCTACCCCATCGCAGCCCAACGCCCGAAACCCAAGCTGGGCCCAAAGACGTCCTCACGCAGGGTGATGGGTGTCAGGCTTAGGGGTTTGGGGTTCGGGGTAAGGTCTCATTTATGGGGCTTAGAGTTTCCGGGTAGTGTAGGGTTTAGTTGTGCTCGGGCCTCGGGCTAGGGTCTCCGTTCAACATGCAGCTGCTTCGGTTCGAATGCTGCTGGCACAGAGCCCGGCAACATGAGTTTTTGAAAGAAATCAGGCTGCGGCAATGTACCAATGAATGGCCTAACAGTGTCGTCAGTGGTATACTTGACCCAGGTGAGCTCCCGATGAACATCATCTCTAAACACTAATCCCGTAGCCCCAAACCCTCCGAGCCCAACTTCCAAAGCCCCCAAACCCAGCCCTTAACGAAACTTTGAGAGTCTAAGCCCGAATTATAAATTGATCAGGAGCCCTAGCAGCGACACAGAAACTCATGGCTGTATTTCGCGGTGAGAGCAAGAGAAGGACATCACAACCATGGAAATAAGTCAGATAGCAACAGCAACCGCAGTGACAACAGTCCACAGTATCAGTCAAGTATACCATTAACGTTTTCGTGGCACTTCTGCCTCAGTCCACGCGAAGCTAATGGCACCAGGCACGTGGCCATGCATGCAGCGGTGACCTAGGCGGGGTTTCATAAAAGAAGGAACTCCGAGATTGACGGACACATCAGGAACTGGCCCGTAATATACCGTTTGCCACACCCTTGGCGAACATGCCTTGCCTGAAATGTTCGAGTGTCCGAGCCGAAACCCAACAGTTAAGGTAAATAGTATTGGGGCCTTAATGATTAGAATATGGTTTGGGGTTTGATTATACTATAGATGTATTAAGGAACCCCCAAAACTTAATGAAATGATGAAGGTCGCTACATCATCCGCAGTTACAAGAACTCCCACGACCCCAGGCCCTCAGCCCGCGACGCCGGCGGCTGGAGGTGGCTTCACCGGACAACCCACACCTGAAGACTTTAAAAGTCTGTCAACACGCGCACACACACACACACACATGCACAGAGAGAGAGAGAGAGAGATGTGTGTGTGTGTGTATATATATATACACACACACAATTAAACCTCGGAGTGCAGAGGGTCTGAGGTCAGGTCCTGCGTTCTGGGCAATGATATTGGTTCCGGAGCTCGGGGTTCGGGATTTTAAGATATGGGCTCGGTGTTTAGGCTTTAGGGTTGTTTGGTCCTGGGTTTGGGAGTCTGTTTTGATACATAGCAGTTCAGCACTTGGTTTCTCAGCGTTTAGAGTCTGCGACAGGAAGATAACCACATGCTTAGCGCAGTGAGGCGCACAGCGAGCTGCTTCAGAGAGCTTTTGGTCGCTTGGCTTGACCTGCTTCAGCAAGCAAAACCCGTACACAATGTGTGAAGCCCAAAACCTGAGGTCCACGTTTAAGCGAGGCGTGGGTTTAAGTTTAAGTGTAGTTTCGGACATTGTGTGGCACGTAGCCACGAATTCAACCGTTGCAGGGCAAGGTACGCTCTGCAGTGAACAAAGTATTTGCAACCTAACGGCTATGATCCCCAAGATTGCCATGCTGTCTCTCAGGAGTCTTTGCCCATGGAGCCATGGCGCTCAAAGATCATCAACACTTCGGACCATAAGGTGTAGGTTATAGATGAGGGCTTAGGATTCAGAGCTGGAGGGGTCCGAACAGTCCGAAATATTGCTCCCTCGGGATTCCTCATGTAGTTTTAGTACCCCTGTTCCACTGATTAAGGCCCCCCCCCCCCCCCCCCCGTATTTTACACCCTACAGTCAGCGTCCTTAGTCGCATCGATTTCATGTGATCCATGCAGGTAGTTGGGGGAAAGGGTCCGGGGAGGGTCGCATCAACTCTTCTTGAATCCACGCAAGTACTTGGTGTTTGCTATATTTCGTATAGAACCGGAAAGTTGACCATTTCTATCTGTATCGAGCAAATGACAACTTATCAAACCATATCCTATGTAATCGTAACTTTGACTCCCCTGGCCCAGGCTATGCAGCGGAACGATTGGAGGAGTTTGATTCCCAGGGCTTGGCCAACACAGGCCAGGGAGAAAGTTGGTAGGCAGAAGCCATGTCTTACTTACGCTCAATGAATCAAAACCCTACAGTAGAAGCCAAAAAGTTGGACCATCATTAGCCTCATGCCCTTAGAGTAAACTATAGGGAATCCCAGTATGAATCATCCAAAATCTATTCTTCAACTTTCTGGGGTTCACTGTAATCCCCTCTAATCTGCGCGCTGCGGTTTAAGCTGAAGCAGCGTCATGGTGGAGGGTTGATCTGGTTCTCGGAGGGAAAAGACTCGAAGTAGCCACAGAAACCAATATGAGAAGCCTTACCCTTACATGCCTTGTCCGAACTCAAACGACCATGAAGCCTCGAACCTGAACCCACATTCCACGAAACCTTAACAAAGGCATGAATGCCGGACTGTACTCCCTTGACCCTACTTTTGAATCCAAACCCTCAACCATGCAGGGTGGGGGCGCGCTGCTCTGCTCTCCGTCGGCTCTTCGCCGCTGCAGGCGCTTGGTCCGGTGTTGCGGAGGCGCTGGAGGGCAAAGAATCCTGGTGGATACTGCTGCATGGTTCCCAGAGCCCAGTTCGTCATATTTTCGGGCCCCATTCCTTCGTTCCTACACAAGCCTTCTTGAAGCCCCACGGGGCCAAACAACAATAAAAACCAAGCCAGGAAAGCCCAGGCAAAGCTGCAGTACGCCCTGTCTTAAAACCCTTTGCAAATTCTTCAAGCCTGCAGCCCTAGCACGAGGAGGATTTCCAGATTCAGCGCGCAGGGCCCGGCGCAGCTGGGCTCCGGTTTGTCCGGTTTTAAATTCAGGGATTAGGGTTTGAGGTTTATAAATGTTTATAAGGGGTTAGAGTTGCCGTGTTTAACTGGACCTCTTGGCTGCCTGAGCATGAAGCCACCTCTTTTTCCAGAGTGCTGCGGCTTGTGTTTCGCGTCAGCCTTCTTGGCTTGTATTGCACGGTGAGAAAGCTTGGGGTTTAGGTTCAGAGTTTCGGGCTTGGTGGGCTCGGCTTGACGCGCTACGTCATTCGTGGCAGGAGAGCTAGGATTGTTGTTGCGATACGGCTGGCAGGTGATTGAGACTCTGAGATCATGGAAGAGAGAGAGAGAGAGAGAGAGAGAGAGAGAGAGAGAACCCCACTTGAGGCCCCGTAGCCCACGAGCTCAAAGCACCCAGCAACACAAAAGCAACCTGTGTCCACCCCCATCCTATCACGCCAGCAGGAAGGCCCTGCCCTACATGGGAGGGATATGCTGGCCCTAAGTCCAGTCAGCTCAACCGAACAGGCAGAACAGCAGGTTTAGGGTTTACGGCGCTAGGGTGTAAAACTTCAGGTTTCACGAAGCCGTCGCCTCAAAGGAAAGACCTGACCTGACTTTTCAATCCTTAATACGCTGAATTGCTGAATCCTGTACTCCTATACAGTCCGCCAGCCTAGCCAAGGAATACCGCCCGGACCTCGGCGCGGTTGCTTTAGGCGCGCGCGAACAAAGTGCGAAGGTTTGCAGTTCGAGGTTAGATTTCTGTTGTGTACGGATTGGGGGGTGTTTGTTGGGGTTTGGGGATGTCGTAGGATAGGTAACATAGAGGCAATGACGGGCGTTGGGGCTTCCTGAGCAAGATGCATTTGGCTCCTGATTGGGTTCCGCGTTGTGGATCCGAATGGCATTGTTCCGCAGTGAGGTTCCTACATTGGGCCTTGCATGGCCTGCTCGTTTTGGAATTAAGTGTAGGGTCCAGGGGCTGATACTGGTATTGGATTTACCAGCGATTAGGGGTACAGATCCGTAGCCTGTCTAAAGAAGATGGGCCTCAAGAAATGTACGCTTTCGTCCCAGGGACTACCGTAGCTTTCCACCACGTCAGCGAGTTAAATGGGTGACAGGGCAGATTTTCCAAGGACCGGTGCAGGATTCAGGCTTTGTGGCTAGTGGTACCTAGACCCAGAGTTGTGAGTGTGTCCCTAGAGTTTGAGCTGTTGGTTCAAGGTTTCGGACCTGAGGCACTAGGTCAGGGACCGAAAAGCACCTCAACATATATACGGTATTGACACTGCCCGCTCATTCAGGTCTTAGCCTTCAACGGTTCATCTGTGTATGCCTGCTTTTACGTCTCGTCGAGGAGTGATGTTCCAAAAACGATCCACACCATCGGAAGATGTCAAACGTGTTTCAATGCCCTCTTGATGCCAAAAGCCTCCTTCCAAAATCCGACCAAGCCCCAGAAATCA